GGTGTCGGGTTTCGCTCGCCCCGGTCCCGCCCGGCCCGGCCCGGCCCGCCTTTAAGGGGCCGCCCCGGGGCGGGACGCGCCGCCTCGTCCCCGTCGCCACCCCCGGCCCCGAGGGGCACCGAGGCACGCGGCGGGTCCCGCGGCGCTGCCGAGGAGCCGGGTCCGCCCGCTGAGGCGCCAGGGACCTCAGGGGCCCCGCAGGACCCCGACGTGGGGCGAGACCCGCGCGCCTCGTGTCGCGTCGCGCCACTCCGGGGAGCGCGCCCAAGTGCGGCCGCTCGCCTGCAAAGCGCCCATGGGGAGCGCCCCTTGCAGCGAATTGTCCCTGCTCGAGCACGAGATCATCTCCAGGGGTCCCTTCCAACCTCCACCATTGTGTGACCCTGTGAAAATCCCTCCAGGTCTGCACCCCGAGAAGCCAGGCAGCCAGGGCACCCGCAGGGAGCGCGCCGCGCGTGTGGCAGCCGTCGCAACTAGGCTGCATTCGGCAAAGAGCTTGCGCTCCRGGGCTCCAGGGAAGCTTTACGACTTATTCCACCGAGCTCGCTTGGCGCTTGGCACTTGTCCTTGGCCTGTGCGTGCCGACGGGGGCGCTTTCCAGCACTTTTATTCCCAGGACACTCTCGTTTCCCCTCAGCTATTGCTCTGAGGTGCCAGCTGGTGCCAAGTGCAGCACTTGGGCTCCCGGGCGGGTTGGTGTCGTAGCCCGTGGCTTCAAAGTGAGGCCACTGCTCCACTTGCCCCGGCCCTGGGGTGCTTCCTAGAGGGGCTTTGGGGATCGTTTGGGACACCCCCCAGACATCAAAGCGGAAGGACCGAAGGGAATTTGTCAAGAMTAGCAGGAAAGCAGGGTGAGGAGAAGCATGCAGGAGAGGGGAGGGTTTTTTTGCTGAGCATCTCTTTTTCCTGCTAGGAGCCCATCCGGATAAACGTATGAAATCTGAGGAAATTTGGGGACGCAGCCAAGAAACAGCTGCTCCTTGTGGCACGCTCCCCTGAAGACCCTCGCTGAAATCCCAGCAGCACCAAAGGCGTTTTCAAAAGTCCCACTGATTCCACCACGAGACTATTTTAACCCCCCCAGTCCCTCTGTTAAATCATTTAGAAATGCCTTTTGCATCAAAGAAAAYGCTGGAAACAAGCAGCACGTAAGTAACTGCGCCGACCCTGTCTTTCCACAGCTACTTGGCAACACAGACCCTGCTACTTAGGTAAAGCCAAACTGCAGCACCCCAATGCTTTGGATGCAAACGGCTGCTAATCTGGAGAACAGCTCTACGTGAAGTGGTCCTAGAGGCCCCGCAGGCTTCAGGGGGCAAACGCTGTTCTCTGACTCCTGGTGCCTGGTTTTCTGCTGGGAAGGGTGAGGAAGGCACCTTGTTTGAACACGAGGGCAGCAAGCACCTCTGGGTGACTTCTCCTTGTAGGATGCAGAGCTGAGTGCTCAAATGGCCTCATTATTTAGCACGTTCTTCATCCGCCACAAAGATGCTGCATAAAATCTTTCCAGAGCATTCTCCTTGTTTTCCCCATTGAAAAAGGCAAGGGGTATGGGCAAGGTATGGATGGGTGAGATCCTAATGCACTCAAACGCACTAAAAATATCCTAAAACTGAGCTCCGTGGCTGTGGATGTGCCCTGCCAGGTGCCAAAGGTACCAAAGGCAGAAGCAAAGGACAGCCTTTGTACCTAGAGGTGTTGCCTATGCATTACATAGGCCCCCAAACCTTATTTTGACAAGTTTTTATAATAATTTACACAGCTCCTTAGTGATACAGCCCTATTCAGAGTGTGCTGAATTGCCTTCTGTATGTGCAGGCAGCAGGAGGGAGCGAGAGGCAAAGAATTTGGTTTGACTTATTAATAGGTGGCCGGTTTATGTGTCTTCCAGTCAGCACGAGTCCTTCTTGGGGAAGCCATATGGAAAAGGGAATTCAAAACCCACGAGGAGTTTTAAGTAGGGCTTAAAATGAGGCCACTAGTGAATAAAACGACAAGGAAGTTTGGAGCCCGCCGGTCTGCTTGTCTCAGCAAAACGTGCAGTTAAAACTGAACCTACCTTGGCTTTAGCCACCGCCAAAAGGAGTTGAGCTGCAGCAGAGAAAAATGCAAAAAGACATGTTGGTGAGTATGGGCAAGGGAGAAGGCTGCACAGGAAAACAYGTGTTAGGAGAAAAATCAAATGTAATTTAGGATTTGAAAAGATAAATAAACTTTGCTGCTTCTTCCTTCTCTCTTTCCCTTACAAAGTACTAAAATCAGACATGTTCTGTTCAGGCAGGGGAATAATCTGAATTTGGAAGGAGTCTGCAGGAGTCTGGTGGGACGACACTGACGTCAGTTGAAGTGTGATTAGTGCATTGATTTCAAGACGGTTAACCAGGATTTGCAGTGCTGAGAAGTCATCAGATGTGTTCCTTCGACACAACTGGTATGTATTATTTCCATCAAGCTTTCTTTCTGAGGATGCTATTTTCCGACACATAATCCCGACTATTAAGAGCAGGGATGAATTCCCAAATAAAACTTAGATCCTCATGCATTTTGATTAGTCACCAAGTAACCTCTTCGTGCCAGGTATTCAGAGACCCTGGCTGTGAGCTTAGGCCGTGGGCCCACGCATTCAGCCTCCCAGACAAAACCCAAATCCTGGGATTTACCAAGTTTAACCCCCTTTCACCCTCCCTCTTCCCAATRTAGCAAACAAAGACGAAAACCAAACATGCTTCCATAATAAAATTCACCACTGCTCCCAGACTTGTCTTTAAAAAGGTGGAAAATACCCATTTTGCCCCCAAGCACATTCACTCTGACTTTCATTTAAGGGTTTTTAACAGTGTGTTACGTTTAAAACCAACCTTACTTTGTATCCAAACAGCGCAAAAACCCAGCATCTGGTTTCAATTGAAATATACCCAAAGCTCCTCATTTTCAGAAAAAAAAAAACGTCCCCTCCAGCAAACTTTCTAATAAAAATCGACTTGAAGCAGCAGGTGAAGGAAGCCTATTTACAGCCAGCCCTCTGTTTATTTTTGTGCAGGGCTGCCTTGCTCGTGGCACACAGAGCCTTCATTGAGCGCCCCAACACTGCGTCCTTCTCGCAGCGCCTGGTGCGCKCCCATGTCCACGGGGCTTTTGTAGCCATTCCCGAAATTTGCCGATCTCCTTCAGGTTAACGTTTTCTTAACCCCTTCTTGTGTCAGAGAAGCTTCAACATGATTCCAGAAAAGGGGTAGTTTGGCACCAATAAAATCGCTGGGGATGGTGGCAGAGATGTTTTTAGGTACAAGACTTTATGGTTATCTTTGCACTTACCTCCCACAGCCGTCTAGGCAGGGCACAACGGGGAATTTTGAGATGGTCTCGCCTTTTGGTGCCCATTTTGTGGCATCTGGCTGATGCTGCAGGTCCAGCTCAGAGGATCTGTCACCCATCCTGCAAATAAGGGACATTATCTTTAAACGTACCTATATGTTTTTATGCATTTTTCTTCAAAGACCAACATTTTGCTCATGTTCTCYCTTTGCTGACTTTTAAAACTGCACTATGCTTTTGAACTGACCTTGTCTATGAAGTATTAGGCCAAGTCCACTAACATTAATACCAGTAAAATTCACATGTTCTTGAAAACATACACTCAGGATTTTCTATTAAGTGAGCAACGAGCACTTTGGGGAGGTCTTGTAAGGTATAACTTTGGTAGCTAGGACCACTAACTCAGTGTCAATCAGTTAAATCATATTTTTGGCACCTTAGGACACCTTGGGAATATTTGCTCCTGTTGCTTCTGCTTACAGTGACCAAAGAGGACCATAAATTCAAAACAGCTTCAGCATAAATGGAGAGAACCAATTATTTTAAACACTAAAATAGCCAGAAATAGAGATTGAGGAGTGCATTTTCTAAAAATGTGTTCTCTAGCTCTTGCTGAAAGTGATGGGAATTTTACCTGTGCTTTCAATGGGACAGAGTCAAAGTCAAAGAAGAAASTTGGAACTGTTCTGTTCTATATCGTAGCTGGCCGACCTGCACACGGCTTGCAGAGTCGCCTTTTAGTTTTTGGTCCGTGATTCATCTGGGAATCTACACAATGAATAATACAAGAAATACTACTGGTTCTGGAAAATTAATTTTTYAGAAATCTTGGACATTTCTAAATACCAGCAGTAATTGTTCACTGGGGCAATTCTAGATGATTTACAAATCAGGACTTATTGTCATTAATCAAATGAACTGTGAATAATACCTTCAAGCAGCCCTCTTTGACCATTAGCTGTTTGGAGCTAATTACTGATMATGTAATGCTTAGCCTTATGACCAAACTGTCATGATGAAAAATCATCACAGAAAACAACACTTTCAGATTTTCAGCTGCATTTCCTATCTGCTGGGAGGTACAACTGTTGGCATTCCCAAATATTTGAAGTTATCAAAGGTCTACAAACTACTAGTTACATGATTTAAGAACAACTGGGTGAAATGCATTTTCTTAACTAATGCAAATTAAATTAAACTTCTTTTTTTTTAAATCTTGTGCAATGTAWTGATAAAACTAAATCAAAGCTCATTTGGAGACTAGACTATATGSCTCAAAGCACTTCTATTTTTCTTCTACTACCAAAAACATTCATTTTCATCTCTTTATCAAGTAGTATAATCTGGAACAACTCCTGTATCTACACTTAACTACTCACCTGGACCTGATGTTGCTGGCAGCATTCCTGCTGCCAAGTCTGAGCACTCAGCTGCTGGAGGTGGCTCTTTGGGGACCGCTGGTTCATCCAGGCTTTGCTGGAGTTGACAGCAGCATTTTCTTCACTCCTTTATTGAGGCTGTTTAATTCCTTAAGAGGAATGTCCTGGATGTCCAGGGGAAGCCCTGGTCATCCTACAGCACTGGAAGTTGGAATTTACAGGTTTTTAATCTGTTTTATGAGCAGTCACTGACACATTCTCTCTTGACTCATCCTCTCAGAGAACAGAGATATCAGCACATATGTTTTACCTCACAGGATTTTGCAAGGATTACCTACTGTTTTTCTTTTTATTTCCTTCTTTTTTTTTTTTTAATCATGTGTATATTGACGTTGTGAACAACGTTTTGCAATGGGATCACAGCAGTGTAATTCCCTGTGAGCCTGGGAGAGCTGTGACTTCTGCCCCAAGGGCATGTGCAGGGACCTACGCTGTGTATGGCAGCACACAGGGACACAGCTGCTCCGGGCCCTGCGCTGCCTAGAGACATGGCAGCAGCTCTACAGGCCAAATATTTTCTTATCCTTTCCACTAAGCCTACAACAGAAAAGAAAATAGGGCTCACTTCCTGCCACGACACCGCTCTGAAATACTTAAACCATGCTCATCTCCTCAATTTAACATCAGCTTTTCCCAGCTGTTTGCATGCAAATCCCTTTTGTTTTGCTCAAATATCTGAGGTCAAGCAAATGTTCAGACAGCACTTGCTGCTAAATCCATTCCTTGCATCACTTTGTAGACTTGCACAGAGCTAGGAATGCTCYGCAGTAGAGCCTCTTTTTGCAGTAAAAATGGGAAGGAGGGGAAAAAAAAAAGAGGCCTTTTTAGAAGCAACGTAAAGAGAAGCAAATCTCAACTGTTGCATGAATACTACCAAGGCAAACGCCACGTCAGGACCCATGAAATTCTAATAATGGTCGTGATATAAGGCTGAAATTCGAGATTGCTCCATGTAGCTGGGGCGCTGCTACAGCTGTGCAGGGGAGCACGCTGCAGCTCTGCCAGCAGAAGCAGGAAGGCTCCCATGGGCACACATCTGCACACGGCTAAAGTCGCTAAAGCARTTAGGAGACGCTTTGCTCAGAGTTGGCAGAAACACATCGTGCCCATGCTGGAGAGCCCAGCCACGGGCAGGATGTGATTTAGAGCCTCCACAGTCCTACATGTTCTGCTCGGGGTTGCTTGGCCCTTTGCTCCCATGCAGCAGCGCACATGTGGCACCCAGATGTTGCCCCCGGCGGGGAAATCCACCTGTTTACCTCCCTTAAATCATTCGCTCGTAATCCTCATTAATAACAATACTGCTCTAGGACAGTTAGCCGTAGGACTCTGGAAAAACAAAGGCCTTTGGTTTCGTGGATCTCGGCAGAGAAATGTTCAACCATTTACCTGGCGTCGCGGCTGATTTTGCAGGTGGTGGCGGTGGAGCAAATATTTAGCGAGCCGCCGTTCCAGCAGGTGCATCCCCTGCCACAGCTATGCTTAGGTTAGCGTTGCCAAAAATGCCGTGTCCAACCTGCTCCCAGGAACCCAAGAAGAAAATTCCCACAGAAGTGCCTGGCCCAGAAGCATGCCATTTACAACCTGAAACCTCCAAAACCCTTCCAGTCAAAACCCCAGAGCTTTTTTTTTCCAATAACGCTGCTGAGGAAGCCAAGCAAGATTATTTCTCCAGTAAATTCCGCTTGGATGTATGGATCAGTATGGATCCTTAGCAATTGTGAAGACAATAGCTTAYGATGTCTTCCTTTCAGCATAATCCTGTACAGTTAAATAATGAGGCTTCTCATGAAATGTGAAAAAATAGCCTGGTGTACCGTTTCCTGTGGCATTTCTTACTCACTTTTCCCTGGCGAGCTCTGCTTGTGGCTAAGACCCTGCAGCAAGACGCTCTGGGGAAACAGGATGCAAAACATGACAGACTTTGCCCAGAAGAATGTGTATACTAAACAATTTTATAACTGTTACAAAACAGTTGTTTTTTAGATAGCCTTCAGAAAACCTTACTTCTTTTTCTCAACCTTTGCTTTGTTTCTCCAGTGGATGAGGACCCTTCTGCTTCTCTTTCATTTCATAGGTTGCTTTTCTCTTTTAGGAAACTACATGTTTGACAGTGTAGTCCAAAGTATTCCCCCTTTAATGATTTTCTTACATTTCTTGCCCCTGGCCAATGCTTTGAGCTGCAGTGCTGTGGCTTCATGTCCACATGGCCAAGGTAGAAACCTGTAGAGTTCTGGCTGCAAAACATAATTCACTGCAGCCTCACACGTTTACTTTACCAGTAGTGTTTCCCCATAGCAGTCTAGGCTCAGTTGTTTCCTGCAGCTGCTCTCATGCCTATATTTGTCCAACTGCAGCGAGCCTCTTTTCACACCTCCAAGTGCTCCTGGGAAAAGAGGCAAGGATAAACTGAAGGAATAAAGACTAGATTATTTGCCTTTATTTTGCATACCAGAGGCGGGGAAGAAAAAGCCCTCTAGGCAACAGACTCTGGAGTTTAAAGCATGAACTGGGAAGGAGAGGTCCAGCACACAAATCAAATAAAGATGCCAAGTTGGGATCCCATCCTTCTCCTTGCAGCAATGAGAAATGCTCTCGTCCAGGTTTCCCAGCGCATCCCTCTGACTCAGCCGTGGCAGCTTGGCTAGCTGGGGATTGCAAAACCTTTTCCCTTGGAAGCTCAGCTGTTCAAGGGACACAAACCCAGCCTGCCCTGGGGTCTGGCGCGCACCGTCTGCTTTGCCCAGGAGGGTCTTCCACGTTGGCATCCCCCGTGCCCGTGTTTGCTCTAAGATTCACAAATCCCACCCGTTTCAGTGGGTGAAGAGTGAGGGATCCAGCCCCACACTGTGACTCTGTTGCCTGCACAGAAGGAGCAGCACTGCTGAAACTGGGCCTCACAGAAGGGCTTTGCAGCTCCTAACTCAAGAGTCTCAGCTCCAAACTACCGCTACGTGCCATGGCTGTGGACAGAGCTGCCAGAAAACTTTCCAGACTATCAATTTGTCCCTTCAACTGGACTTATGCCAGCTTTATACTACATAACAGTGAATAAAATTGGGTGCAAGGAAGGACCTTTACACAGAAAATACTCTTCTTGGTGCATTTTTTTTCTTGCTTCCCGTTGTGCAGACGCACAGCACATTGACAGCRTGATCCCACTGTAGCTGCTTGGTATCAATTGCCTTATTTTGCAGGAAACGTTTGCTCTGTTTGCATCTGTTTATAGAGGGAGAACAAGCGTTTCAAAGGGAAGAGAAAAAAGAACAGCAAACTGGGAAAATGCTTTCTCTGTCAGCACTACAGTATTAATAGCACTTGCTGTTTCACTCACTAATAAATAACAAGCCATTCCTTCCTAAGGAGAAAAAAAAAGGCAGCAAGCACACACCCTTAGCCAAAAACATCCCAAAGAGAAAGGCCAAGTTTCYGTAAGTGCAAAACTACATTAATTAACTACATTAATATTTCTGTTGTTCTTTAGCTGGAGTATGAGATTGGCTATGGTTCGCCTGATTCCGAAGGCACTGATTCTGCCTTCAGATTGGAGCAATTATCCAGTATGAATGGTTTCTTCTGGAGCTAATTAACTCCCATCCCAGGCTCGAACCTAAACTGCATGCACTGTGTTTTTAACATTCCAGGGCTAAGCTGCTTGCTCTAAGAAAAGCCAGCCAGAAAGAAAATATTGTCTTGAAGATGGTAAAGGTTTTAATATAGATTAGCAATTTTGTGGCAACCCTTCACGCTGTAAAAACACTTCCTGTGTTACATTAGCTTTAGGCAGATCTGATCTGAGAAAGGTTTCCATGTGTGTAAAGTCCTTACTAGCAGCTGCCTGCATTTTCTAAAATGTTAGGACTGGTCACTATGCACCAAGTGGCAGTGGAATCTAGTCCTTTCGTCTCTCTTTCACAGCTACCTACAAAATGGCAATGAAGGAGAGAGAAAGCAGAGGCCACGTGCTAAAAATCAGGGTATTTTCATGCTGCCATTAAAATAAATAATGTAGCCTAGTTGCTGGCCTTTATGTGTGTGCCTGGCTTGAATCTGTAGACCTATTTTCGGGAAGACACTTATCACCCTGCAAGTCACCCAAAGACAAAGTATTGCAAAAAATCGTGGCACTGGCTACAGCAGTGGGCTTGGGTACRGCTGCAGGACCCTTGAGCAAGTGTATTTTATCCTGCAAGAGCTCGTAGGYGCTTCCCAGCTCCTACCGAGGCAGCGGCTGCAGAAACACGTCGTGAAAGACYCCGCTTACCTCACGCTGGTGGAACTCATGAGCTCATGCAAAACGTGAGCTTAGGAGGGGGAAGGCATGAGGAAACCATACGGGCTGAGCTGCATCTCCAAGGGAGAGCGCGGGGGTCCCCGCGCCCCGGGACAGCGGCCGTCTCCAGCGCCGCGCTCGCGCCTCGCCAAATGAACGAGCCGGTGGACGCGGCTGAGTCTGCTGGACGTACCTGTAATTCAAATACATTATCCGAGTTAAAATGTCCCGGGCTATGCTAGCCATAAAGCAACTCCGCCAGGAATTCAGACACAAAGAGGAGCGCGGCAACAGAACTGGCCAAAAATACCCAATAAAAGATGGGTTCACGGAGCCTGAAGTGCTGAGCATCACGCCTGACTATTACATATTTGCAACAAAATGGAAGAGAGTAAGGATTCCAGGGAACAGCCAAAGAGCTGCTTTGCTAGAAGAGATTCGGATTGGGTTTGCTTTGATTCGGGCTAAACCTAMGGAAAACAGAGTTTCCTGCAAGCTCGCACCTGGGCTGGGAGTCCAATGTTCACACAAACCAGTGGTTTCCCAAATCCTGCTCACTGCTGTAAATGGTGAAAGTCTTTGGATTATCTCATGTCTGGTAGACCGATATCATTAGTTTACACCRTGTTTGGATTAGAGCTGAACTAAATGCACATGCTTCTCAGTTACTTCTGTTTTCCATTTCTAATATTTCTAACCTGAGGAGAATTMGGGCTTGCTTGGG